TTAAATTAACATAATATTATTACTAACATAAAATGTACATATTAACCAAATACGGATCAATGGCCGTTACTGTTTTTCCTTCTCAATAAAATAATTTTACAATTCTCGTTTTGATGTAAGGTCACTATGTTGTAAAAAATATCTGATAGGATGTATCAATAGTTTAATTACGGCTATGGAAATACTTTTAATTTTAACTCTACATTTAAGTATGCCTACTACTAAAAGTTTTCTTCTCTAATGAATATATTGAAAAATAGTTACTAATGTTACAAAGTGTCATGGCTTGTGTGCGAGAAGTTTATTATAACTTATAATTGTGTTTGATGATAGCCATCATAGATATTTAAGATTATAGTAAAATAACAGATATTTCTTAGCCTATAGTGAGGGTGTGTATTATGGAATTKATGTTTGCTTGTAAGTACTTGAATGATGCTGTATTTTTTTTAACAACAAGGATATGTTTAGTTGAAATGGTGATGGCACCGCCAAATTTCTTAGATTGCGTGTTAACATAGTTAATTAGTATTCTATCTCTTGAAAAAATATTAAAATTTAAAGCATATTTATTTAAGCACCTAGGTTACAAATGTAATAGATAATAATTTAAATAATATTTAACAACAAGGTAAACTATAAAAATGTCAAAATATATTTGGATATTATGCTATCCTAAATAACTCTTGATTTACATAATATCATTCAACTCCATACATTAATTTAACTGTGCAATATAATAAAATTTAATTATATTGTATTTTTTTTTTAATTTATATTACAAATATTAAGATATAGGGTAGGTTTATATACAATATATTTGTAAATTAATCTAATTTTTTAAATAGGTACTTTAATTTGTTTCACTCAGTATATTTGATTAAACTTTTAAATGCTGACTCAATATTTGATATAAATACAGCCAAAATTAGGTAATTTTACTGTAATACTAGTTTTGATTAAAATATATAATGTTTGAATCACTTTTTACTAACACAAATGTACATTTTAGCAAAATCTTTCATAATGAAACTATATTGCACTCAAATCTACCAGGTTTGTTCAAAAAATGCCCGGACTGTGTTAATAATATTTATATCAATTAAGATAATGAAACTCCGATAATGTAATTCGATAAAGTAACTTAACACGAGGATTTGAGCATTGGTTTAAATCTGATAACAAAATTTATTTTTATTTTATGGCATTTCTACAAAAAAATTTTGCAGTCATGTGTCGAATTTCGTAATGGAAGGAATAGAAGAACATGCATGAAATTTTGTGTTAAATTAAGTTAAATAAAGTTCTAGTGAAACTTTTAAACTTTTGCAGCAAGTTTTTGGAGATGATGTCCTGTCTCAAACAATATGTTTTGAGTGGTTTAAAYGGTTTAAGGAAGGTATAACATCCGTTAAGGATAAAAAATGACCTGGTAGACCTTCCACCAGTAAGACAAATGAAAATGTTGTTTGCGTTCGTGAAATTATTCGAAATAATCATTGATCAACTATTAGAGAACTTGCGGAAGATGTCAGAATATCTGATGGTTTGTGCCAAGAAATAATAAACCTAAGAATTGGGCATGAGCCAAATCGCAGCCAAATTTGTTCTCATCTCTTAACTGATGAACAAAATCAAAACCGAAAGACCATCAAGCAACTCAAGAACTTTTTGAAAGAGTAAAAGGTGACCTAGACTTTAAAAAAATATTATTATTATAGGTKATGGAACTTGGAYTTACAGGTATGATATTGAAACCAAGCATCAATCATAACTGTGGAAGTCAGTGAATTCTCCTAGACCTAAAAACAAAATATGGAGATCGATCTTAAGGATATTCCAATTAGTGCCTACCAGAAATGTTTTCAAAAGTGGAAAAGAAAATGGTAACGGTGTATTGTTTCCCAGGGAGATTATTTTGAAGGTGATTATGTGTATTTAGAATAATATTGTGTTAATAAAATTTTATTTGAAAAGTCCGTGTATTTTTTTATCACACCGCGTAAATAATAGGTAGTATATTACTTATATTAAAATATAATTTACATAAAACCTAGACTTATTGCTTTGGAATTTGTATTTACAGTGGACTTATTTTTAAGTAAAATTAGAGTAAATAATTGAATAGACAATAGTTCAATGTTAATTAATTCTGTTATCATTGGAAAAATTAGTATATACATTATAATGTATAGGTACATAATATACTTAGTTATAATTGCAAAAAAATTAAAATAAAATAGTTTAATACAATTAAGTAATTAAATACCTTTAGCAGATCCAATTGAAGTACAAATATCCATTTTTGACCATTTTGGATTACGGCCACAAACCTTTTCACTAGTATATAAAGGAGCACACATTGTTGTTAAATGTAATGTGTAATAAAATGAAGTTTTATTAGCTGTATATTCTGGATCATCACAGAGATTGTAACCATTGATTTGAATTAAATTTCTAAGCCTTTGCTAAAAATTAAAAAATAATGGTAATACAATCTGAGGTTTCAATGAAATATATAATGTAAATACTTGTTGAGTAACAAAAGGCACCCATTCTTGAGAACGGATGGTCTCAGATTTTAACATGGTTATTTTCATTCCAATGTGTACTATTCACCATACCTAAAACAGTTGTAACAAAATAAACTACTGAGGTTTGTTCCACAATGGCTAGATTGTGAAGAAAACAATTATTTATTTATGTCAAATCAAAATGTATAGAACATCAAAATTTAAGTTCAAATAACTTATGATAAATAARATCAAAAATATAAAACTAAAGTCTTTAATGTCAGGAGACCATAGCGTTTTTCATATTCAAAGAATTAAATACGACGATTGTTTATAACATCTTGATGAAATAATAATTATTAAACTCACCTTCTGTCGCCCACTGAGTCATTGAAGTTCTATAAAAATTTACGTATTTTTTTGAAGACGGATTATTTGGTTTTACGACTCAAAACATAAAGTTTAGAAAATTTAACGGAAAACATACTTTAAAATCAAATAGATTTTAGGCGAAACTTTAAAACATTAATTAATTACCTATATAACCGATTATTTAGTACTGTCAGTATTGACATAAGTTTTTTAAGTAATCATTGAATGATAACCATTATCAATTGTATGATATTATGATACACAGTTTATCAAATTACATAGCATGGAGGTAAACAATTGATAAACTAATATAATGTTATTCCCCATGGCCTATATAATAAATGCCACTGATGTATTCTGTGCTATACTGTAATGTATATTAACTGCCCAGCTCCCTTGGGTATCATTTCTATAGATTTATAATTGTATATAGATAACAATTATGGATGGTAACCTACGTCCTACGACGGGTTCTTCTCGATGCCGTAGTATTCCATCACACGCGGCTTTAGAATAATACTTTTATTTCGTATTCGGAATACGAATTTGAATACCTAATTGGAGAAAATATATTCAGAAAATCAGAATGCCGACGTGGTTATTACGTATAGATAGGTATACTTTTGCGAAAAATATTTAGAATACAATCACTAAATTACAATGTATACCTAATAGGTATTCGGATATGTTATAAAATATTTGAACACTTTTCGAATAAATATAGGTACCTATTTACTTACCGATTTACTTTACTTCAAAAAAAAAAAAAAACCTATTTTTTTGTATTTAGAGAAAAGATTAGATTTGTATTCATATTTCAAACACAATAAAGTAGGTAAACGATCTGAGCACAGTAAATGTCGACATGTCAAGTCTAGCTTGCCATTGTGATTGATGTTTTAAATACTTAAATTTGAAATAGAAAAATATGAAATATTACCGTCAGCATTATTAGTTATTAGTTATTACCTACTCATCAGTATAGGTAACAATAAAAAGTATACATTTTATTAAAATATAGGTATATAGTATTATAGTAATAGTAAATATTTATATTTTTATATGCTTTTATTATTCATAATTTATTTTCCAATGATCGATAACACGCTAGGTTGAATTAAATTTTTCCTAAAACATCTAATTTTTTACTTCATTACAATTTTGTTAGTACCTACTGAGTAATATATATTTTAATCACATATTATTGTTATTAACTTTTTGCTCGATACCAAATTACCAACACTTACCTTGAGAACGATGAGAATATAGGTTCTTGGAATTAGTATGCAATAAATCTAAGTTAACCTAGATACCTATTATTTTGTAAACGTCATTGTGTATTGAAAAACATAGTAATGTACGTTATTATTATTATTATTATTATTATAATATAATATTTATAAGTTATAACTACTATACATATTGTCTATTAAGTAGGTAGGATAATATATTATGTGTATTATTGTGTACCTATAACATAACGTAACTAATAATGTGTGTTATAAGTGGCTTATAACGTATTATTGTTTAGTATGAATACAATTCATACAACTTACATACCTATGCGGCTATGCTTGCTATTATATAGATATTTAATTATGTTCCATAAATTAGTAAGAGTACCTACATAGGTATAGGTACGGAAGACATGCATTACGCGCATAGTCCAATAAGATTCGAATACGTATATGTACCTATTGTACCTAGTATATTAGTGCCCAGCTTATTTAGGGTCCATAAAAGTACATCCCAGATACATCATTCGTTTGGCACTTACTGTAATTTCTATCTTTGGGATGCAATTATAGTATGCAACCCTGCACTTTTAGTGCATGTGTTTATAGTGCATGTCTGGTGTTTTTGTAATGTGCGTAAAATGTTTAAATTAAAATGGTAAACTGCGCCATTAGTAATACAATTCTTGCCAATTTAAAAAAAATGTAACATAAACATTAAACACACTACTTTATTATACGAAAAATAATAGTAATAGCTATATATTATAATTCTATTATAGTGGAGAAAATAAAATACACAAATTGTATACAAATTGTTTTGTATGTAATGTGTATCAAATATTATTATTGAAGTATAGTATTTTATGCTCTAACATTTTTATTTAAAATTTATACGGATTTACGTCTCGCAATTATTTTTGGAATAATTGACGTATATTTCATGGGCAGTTGGCAACTTTGCGTGAGTTTCAATTTTTTCGGACCGCTATTTTCCACCAACTCTGGATGTTGTTGGTGTTCTGTTGGTAAAATGGTTTGCATTAGTAAATAACCATTTTCTCCTAGTTCGCTTGTTCCTCTCCCAGGAATGAGTGTACGCCTGAATGAAAAAAATGATTTGTAACTATAATATTATGACTCTATGAGAAATTTCAAAGCAATTTTTTACTTCTAAAATAAATTTTACACGATATGTATGATCAGGAAAAAATAAGTACGTATTTACTATACATGTGATAGATAAGGCTTTTATAATTAGTAATTACCTATATTATCATTATATTGATTTAAACTCTATAACTAATTAAGTGATTTAATTTGTAAATACTAGCTTGTACTTATAATTTATAAAATAGCTGAAACAATAACTAATTAGTTAAATATATTTATTGCATTGTTCTTGTAATCGTTAGAATTACCTAAACATATTATATTATTGTGGACTGTGGTATAATTTAAATCAGAATAAAAATTATATCACTCATAAGATATTTAGATGTATTTTATAATCATATTTTTAGTGAGTTTTAAGGATTTTCAAGTTAATATTAAGAGTTCAAGTCTTAATGCTACAAATTAATACAAAGTTAAGGTTAACCAAAAAAAAAAAAAATTGTAAAAACAAAGATTACCTATAGTATGTTAAGACAATTTAAATTTAATACACGTTAACCATGTTATATTGAAAATGCATCTTACAAACGTTTTGAATAGGTTTTATAATTTATTTAAGGTTGAGAATGTTAATACTGTACTTAAAGTTAAGGTCCTACGAAAGCTACTTGTCAATTTTTTTAATTATATATATATATATATAATTTTATTTACCAGTTATATACTCGGCGTATTCTTGATCTTCTTCTCGTGTATTGATAGTTATTATCAACATAAATGTAACACCACCGTACAAATGCCACAACAGAATAACAAACGATTAAATTACAAATACATTCCAATGATTCCAAAGTAATTTTGTCCATTTTAAATTGTGATTTCAGGCAGTTGTTTATCTATATGAATGAAAAATGCATTACCTGTTGGAATATCATATCATAAAGTTCAGTGGCGTAGCCAGGGGGGTTAGGGTTCAACCTCCCCACCAGCCAAAAACGTCGAGACCTAATAAAAAATGTAATGACAAAAAATAAAGGTAACTTTGTACCTATTTTTATTAATTAATTTATTTGGTATACATTTTATAAATAATTAAAACGAATGACTACGCACCATTGTAAGAAAACTTAACGTGTAAGTTTTAAGTATAGGCACTAATCCATCTGTCCAACATTGACAACCACTCCATACTAACATTGAAGTAAGTGTTATCTGTAAATGTAAGTAATTTATAAGTATCTGAGTTACGAATTTGAATTTATAATAAATATAACATTCACATAATAAATCATAAATCATAAACGTATATTAGAATAATCAAGAATGCGTAAGAAATTTGAATTTTAAAAATCAAGAAAATTTGTTATTTATTTGCTAATAAACATTATTGTCAATCATATTGATTGTTTTGTGTATTCTATTTTCATTGGTGTTAAATTGTGTGGAATAGTCATTGAACAATTTTATTTTATTTTTTTTAAATAGGAGAATAAGAGATCAATATTATTAAAGTTTTGTTTGAACTTCTATCCTTTTATAATTGAATACGGACAACCGTTGTAATTCGAAACCGTATTAAATTAATTTTCGTGTTTAAATTGTCTATATTTAGCCCCTTACAAATCGTTGCTTCTTGTCATTTTAATTTTCTTTTAATTATTACCTATACTACTAAGACATTTTTGTCATCATAATTTATATATAATAAAGTTCATTATTATATTTTAATTAAAATAAAATTTAAAAAGTTTATTTGCTATGAATATTATAGAAATATTTAGTAATAGGTACCTTTAGCCAGAATTTCCACCACAGACCTTTTGGCATTCTATGCAGACGGCGTGGTCTTTGAATTGGATTCATGTATGCTATTATATATGTTTCGGATAAACGCCAGAAGTAAAAAAAATAAAAAAGTGAAGGTAATAATGTGATAATTGATGAACCACAATTAAATTTTTGTGTAGACTGTAACACATTTTCGATTAGGTGTTCATGTGTAGTCATTGTTTTTGAAGTTGCTACGTCTAAAATATGTGCCTAATTTATTTTAATTATTTTAAGAATTGATTTTAAATTTAAATTTTTTAATTATTTCTGTTTGAAAATACTATAATCAATGCATTTTAGGTTGCTTGTTAAAATTTTAATTGTTTTTAAGCCAGTTCACTATTAAGGCGCTTTTGTGATTATTCTTATAAAAATGTTCCCAAGTAATAAGAAAAAATTATTCTTATTAGCTGTTATTGAAGAAGCTAGAAGCACCTATACATTTATAAAATATGAATAGTATCATAATTTATAATAGTACATTAGTATAATATAATAATATTATTAATTTATACACAGGGCCGTATTTTTAAATTGTACGCGCCCAAGCTCAAAATGCATGAATGCATGATGCCCATTTTCAATACTTACATTCATTTTAGTATACCTAAAAAAGTGAACAAACATTTAATTTACCATTAGCCATAAAAATAAATAATTTATTACGTCACTTTCGTGACTGAATGGGTGAAATTAAAGATAATTTAATTTAAAACATAAACACTTTCGAGAACTAGATAATAAATAACTGCAAACAGTAGCTGACCCACGCTGTTTATAGAATAAATAATTTCTATTAATGATATGAAGATTTAAATAAAACTGTACACAAATAACATTTGGTGAAAATTGAGGAAATTCGAGAGTTTGATAACAACAAAACTAGGTTTTAATAAGTATTTTAGAAGGTATTTAATCTTCAATAGCTAACCTCTGATACAAGTATATTTATATATTTAAATATATAAATTTAGCAAACTTGCCATAAATTAAATTAATACGATCTTCCTACTTCTAATTAAAAATTGAGCACTAACACAATAATCTTATACAATAGAAATAGAACGGTAAACTTATAACATACAGAAACAATAAATTAACCGACTTTTAAATTCCAGTGGCGTATACAAAGAAGGTGTTATGGGTTATGATATCTTTCTTGAGTTCATAATATATAATAAGTATAGATTAAAGAAATATTAATTGCTTTTGTTTCAATTCATTAAATCATGTTTATATAATCAATGCATATTTTTTGTTTACAAAATTTTCTACTTATTTAGTAGGTATCACTCAAGTTTCATTAAACCAATTGCAGCCATAGGTTTCAAAGAATAGTATAATATAATTAATGATTACAGTATATTTTTATACTAATATTAATAAAATGGCACTTCTTTAATAACATACTTGCTATTATATTTTTTAATAATGATGTAATAGATATCAAGTTGTAAATATCTACCATTGTTTAATTGCCATTATTTAATTATTTTAAAGTAAAGATATAAAAAGTCAATCTGGTGTTTATAAAAAAAGTTAAGTGAAACTATTTCTGTGATATACAGAGAGATAATTCATTGCAAAGAGTAGGAAACTGGACAGCTGTCAAGAGGAGTACCTCAAGGGTCTGTGCTTAGTCCCTTATTATGGGGCATCATGTTAAATGGTCTGCTCTCTAAAGAAATACCGTTAGGAGTAACTTTGATCGACGTAGACGACGTGGCAATTGTTGAAATAGCATAAAGAATTGAATAGCTAGAGGAATTAGTCAATGAATCTCTTGAGTCTTGACATTGTTTACAAATAGATGAATGCATGTAAGCTAAGATAAATTCTCTATAAAATGGAAGCTGTTATGTCAACAAGCAAAGGAGTTACCGGAAGCAAACATTAAAGCTAGGAGACCATAAAATAGCTGCCAAAAACTCTTGTAAAGTACCTGGGAATATAAATAGATGTGGGATGACAATTTAAAGTGTACGAACAAACAGTAAGGGGGAAAAGCTACGAAAATTACTCTGACATCGTCTAAAATCCTGCCCAATGTTGGTGGGTCATCAATAGAGGAAGCTGCTGATGAGCGAGGTCCGTGGTAAATGTAGCCAATTGTTGTATGCTACATCAATATAAACATTATTTCTAGATTACAGAGTAGACAACACTGTACTGATCAAAAGAGACAGCTGATGACACTGAGGGTTACGACTTTATGAAGGCGAATAGGACGGTGTCATATGATGCAGTAATGTTGGATCTTGGATAAARTTAATGTTACCGATAAAATTGCTAGCAAACGAATACAGTGCAGTGAAAAATACTATGGAAAAATGTAAGGTGGCCAAAGATGTTTGGAAGTAAAGTATGACAGAATGGCAGAAAGACTGGGAAAAGGCGAATCACGATTGCTGGATATATCAGGCTCTGGACATTTAAAATTTTTATTAATAATAAGCGCCCATTTATTTAGAAAAAGATAATATATATATATATGCATAATGGTCATACTGATTTCCTCCAATAAAATGGCGAATTCGTTTATCTGGTTTCCCTATGCTTCTCGTATAATTCCCTATTAATGTCCATTCTGATTTAATCATTTCATGGACGTATGCATGTATCAATGTAGAGAGGTATACAAATAGAGGGCATGGTGGAATGGATATTGGACAAATACAATTTCTTTACACATACCCTAACCAACCATAGATGTTTCAGTGCCTATCTATAGATAATGAAGAAATTGGACTTCTCTAAGTGGTCCCTATACGATGCAGATACAGACAATGTGTTCACTGTATGAGTACGAGTATGTTTGAAAACTGGAATAATTTGGAGAGATTGGATATAGCCACGGACAACATGTTTATAAATAAATTTATAACTATGTATCATGAGAGTGATATCCCCAACAAAAACATAATAGTGAAAAAAGGCCAAGTTCCAAACTCCCTCCCAAAAAAGTCGGCCTATCAAAGTAGTGAAATCTACATTGTGGCCAAGTTTGCTATTTTTTAATTCATAACCTCAATGCACTCCTACATTAAAGAGCAACACTTCTCTTTTATTTGTATAATGTATTGTTTAACACTTGGTGAGTTTCTGAATGAGAAATAAACTAGACTTGGCCGCAATGTAGATACCACTACTTACTATGATTCGAGGTCTTTTTTGAGATTAAATTTAAACCTTTTACTTTTTTCTAAATCTTCTTCTCCCCATCACCCTCGTAAGTCATAAGTGAGCACATTCGATAATGATGTTTTATTCCTCGTTCAGAAACTGACCAAGTGTTAAACAATACAAATAAAAGAGAAGTGTTGCTCTTTAATGTAGGAGTGCATTGAGGTTATGAATTAAAAAATAGCAGACTTGGCCACAATGTAGATTTCACAACTTTAATAGGCCGACTTTTTTGGGAAGGAGTTTGGAACTTGGCTTTTTTTCACTGTTATGTTTTTGTTGGGGATATCATTTATTTTTGCAGGCTTCAGCGTCGTGGACGACGTGTTGTTATTATTTATTTTTAAAAATTTTTTTTTTTTAATTTTTTTTAAATTTATTTTTTATACGTCGTAGATTTTCTCTTGTAAGACCGTTTGGGTTTCWGTTGAGGAGCTGAGAAATTGGACTCTTGAGCGTTGTCAATACCAGGCAAAGATACCCAAGTACGGTCTTTTATTTTTCATCGTCGAGACTTAATACCATATTGTAACGCTGTTTGAAAGTAAACGTTTATGCGTGCTAAGCGCGCCACTTCATACGTTTAGGAATACACACTCTGGAGAGGCATTCATTTTGAAAAAAATTCAATTTTTAGATTTTTCCCTTTAGTTACACTATAAAATCTACCTTTGTGCCAAATTTCATGTTTCTATCTATACGGGAAGTGTCTTATAATTTTGATGATCAGTGAGTGAGTGAGTGAGTGAGTAACAATATTGCAAATTTTGAAATCCTGCCATTTTGAAATGGCACAATATTAARGGCYMATTKTCTKACAGYGTYCTAAGCTACTAGAGGTTAATCTGTGTTTTAAATTTCAAAAGTTTATTTTAAGAGGAAACAGAAATATATGGGTTAGAAAAAAAGTGCGAATTGGTTCGTGTAAAGATACACTGGCATTGCTGTAACTGCCGTGCGCTCAGATATACATAATATACCTATGCTATACTATTTTATTAACATACAATATTTAGTTTGTGGTGAAAAATAGATGATTTTTATTAGGTATAACAAAATATCAGAACATATTTATAAGTAAACATGTTTGACAAATAAAATACGATGAACATAAAATGATAAGAAATACAATTTAAATACTTAAAACTATGTGTATAAATAAATTTTGACATTTTTTTCATTGATAGGTATCTACAAAATGTATTAGCTAATTGACGGCAAGAGATCCAAAGAACTATATGAGTATAGTGGTTTTTTATAACCAAATATTGCATCAAATATCGTTTTGCCGATCATTGCCAAACCGGTTATCATCATGATGATGCTCCCGACCGATTGTGTGTACGGCAAAACAATAACAGTAAAATACATTAGAGTTGTTATGTACCAAGGTAAACCCACTTGATTCTGAAAAATAATAATTTTTATTCTCGTGAGTTGTGTATAATTGTAGGTACTTGCAGTATTATAATAACATTCCAATAGTAATTTAAACATATTTAAACCAGCTTAATTTAAAAAAATAGAAATATAGGTAATGATTAGGTGTAGAAAATAAACAAGTGCATTAAATAAAAAAGAAATTAAGAAATAACAATTTGGTTTATTTAGAACTGATGAATATAATTTCATGATTGTATTTCCATATTATATTTCTTAAACATAAATTAATATTAGAATTAGTAGGTATTGTTTTCTCAATTTTCCTGAATACTAGGTAATTAAGTACTAGAAAATACGAAAAAATAAACTGTTAAGACTTTAAGACTTAAAGATTATTATGTATTTATATTTTAAAAAGGAACTAAATTCATTGACCTCAAATACTACAAAAAAATAAAAACCCAAAAGATCATGATTAAATAATACGTAAAAAGTATACTTACATAAATTATGCAAATATAATTTTTTATTTATTTTTTTTTAAATGTAACTTATCTCTTCAGCGTAAAAGAAACATCAGAATAGTGCGTAAAATTGGTATATTTATGTATTAAATGCAACAGAATAATTAAAATATAAAAGTAATATTATAACAAATTAAATTTTGGTATTTCAATAATGAGATATAAAAATTATATTTTAATTATTTACAGTTTATGGAATTTGATGTAGGTACCAACAGGTTCATACAAAATATAACTGAGTAATGTAATATGAATAATATTAATTTATTTCCAAAACAAAAATTACTATAATGTTATGAGGTGTTTCAATTACAACGGAGATCAATGTGAGTAGATACATTGATTTATTTATTACTACATTTTATATTACAACATATTTTAATAAAAATAGTTTTTGAAGCCACCAGAAAAATAATAAAAATATTAATATGTTGGTATCCCTATTCCCTAACATTGTGTGACTAAAATTTGAAATTTATCGACTTATTGCAATACAGAACTTAGGTACCTGACGGCTAACATGTTRCTATAAAAATTATTACCAATGGGTATATCTAGTAAAATCTATTTATGACATTTATGTGTTATTTTAAAGCACAGATATTATGATATTTTTACATAGTTACCTATATTAGATTACTTACATATTCTGCCCAAAACATTGGTATTGTCATATTACTGAATTTGTCAAGGTTTGAAAATCCACTCGTGGGATGCATGACTAGATTGCTCTGGCTACGAGCTCTACTTTCCACTGGAACCCCTGTTAACTATTTTAAATATATTTTATACTTGTACTTTTGTACTTAGGTCTAAATATAATATACATTTATATAAAAGTAATTTATTAAGTCTAGATTTCGGTACATACTGGTTCAACGATTAAGTACGAGCCATGTTTTTCTTCAGTAGGTTTTAATCCTGATATTGATTTCACTAGTGCTTGATCACCATTGAGGAAATGAGGAAATGAGGCTGCAATAGGGAAATCTGTAAAGATAAAAACAATTCTATGTTTTTTACAAACATTTGTGATTTTTAAATATGATGTAATCGTATTGTTATTTTATTGAAACTGTAGTTTTAAAACTATTAGTCTTTAACAAATTGTATTTTAAAATTATAATTTTATTTGTAAAGTTTAATTTACTAAATATACAAAATATAAAAATTTAGATTAAATTAATCGATTTTAAGTTAGATAGATAGAATTAGTTTTAATAAAAATAATTTAAAACTATTAAAGAATATTACTGACTTATTAACGTAAAAATATATATAGCATGGTGTATCAACTAAGTCATGAAATATGAATTAAAATTCCTATAGGTACTTCATATATCATTATTGCATTATTCATGAATATTAAAAAATGGAACAATATACGTATTAAAAATTAAAATTAGTACCTCTCACTCTCACTCTAGTCGCTATTATATTAAAAATATGAATGAACAATTAAAAAAAATATATATCTTTAAATTTATAAATGTATTATTCAATTTAATTTTAAACAATTATTTGTGTAAATAGTAAGAATATTTTGTGAGCCAATGAATGTCATTATATTTAAATAATTTTTGTTTTAACCTTTAAATCGTTTTAGTAGGTATTTATATTTAAATAAAAATGTATTTGATCAATGTATGGTATGATTATTTTAAAACTTACTCACCCTTTTTAAAACAATAAAACATGAAAATATTACATAATACTTTAAAAATTAGCAATTATATTGCTTTAGAGAACGATAAATGTCAATTATTGTGACATATCGTTAAAATCATTTTTCAAATAATAAAAAAAAAAATTAATTCAATACTATACCCTCACAAACAACGTTACAGTGTCAACATTTATAATTTTTAAATTTACGTCTTTCTACTAAACACTATTATCCACACCTATTGATTAATTTATGTAATAAGTATGCAGTGTATTCTAAAAATGAAAGCCAGTGAAATTATAAACACTAAATCGATGCCTATATAATGATATGATGAAAATTATTAATACCGAATATTTATACAAATTATAATTATTGTTTAGTTTATCATTATACATAGTATTATATACTCTAAATATTCAACTATATATATATATAATAGTAAAAAATTAATTGTTAAGGCTCACATGCTCACATGGCGTTATGTTTTATTCAATAAGATTTTTCGTGTCGAAACTAAACCGTGAATAATGTTGCTGGGCTCCAGATGGATGAATTCATTCGCTATTTAGATACTACAAATTAAAATTATAACTTACTTGATTAGGTCTAAATCAAGCTGTGCAGTTAAGTTCCAAATTTTTTTTTAAAAATGGCTTATAAAAATAAATATTTATAACTATTTTAATTTATATCTTAGGTATTTCTAATCTTTAACTATTTTAAAGCTTGATTCGAACATTTAAAATTAAACATTTTAACATTTTARCATTTAAAATATTTCAATCATTTAACGTAAAATTTAATATGGCATGAGAATCTATCATTTTATATTTATTGTTTAGTTTTAATATAATATTTTAATTTTCAATTACATACCATAATAACACGGTGATACGTCAGAAAGCCCAGAAAGGAGAGGAGTTGATTTAGGATTATGAAAACAGTCTTCTAAGCTTGGATCGGTTTGTGGATGAGAAAATACATTCTTTGGAAGAATAAACTTGTACATTGTCATTCCCGATTTGGTCACCTCATCTTAAAAAAATATAAGTGTTGAAGTTAAAACTATTGATTTCAAATAAATCTGTTGAGATTATCAGCACGCACTTTTGTATTTTAGTGGTGTCACTCGGCACATAGTTTTTCTTAAATACTTCAATGTGTCATTTTTTGAAACAAACTGATGGTACGTAACACCTTCAGTAGAACCCTGTACACTATCACACTTTGAATCCTCCCAAATTCCAAGATTAGGTTTACCATGGTACTTATCTACCGTGAAGAACCTTCGTCCGTTTTCTGGACCCATGAATACAGTAACTTCATCCGTGAACTTGTTATAAATCTGAAAACATTGAATATTTTAGGTATATAAATTTTTACTTATTATAAGGATATTAAAGCTTAAAAAAATAAGAAATTCTGCATACCACCAAATATTTTGAACGTTTCTAAGACATTACTTTTATTTGTTTATATACCATAATAAATGTAATTATTAAACATAAGTTGTTGTTACCTAGTATAAGATAGAAAAAAAGTTGAGCGTAAATCCACAATAATTTTTTATGAGCATCTGGAGTTAAAATTTTGATAAATTCATCAAAATTATAAAAATTGCCAAATTCAGCTAGAGTTGGAAATTTATAAGAATATTTCTATCTATAATTTATACCTAAGCCTTGAAATTTTAATAAAATTAGGGTATAATAAAGGTTTTCTAAGAAGTTTTTGACTAGTCAATAAATATTAAAAACCCATAGGCAGTRTTTATTTTTAAAAAGTATTCAAAGTTTAGATGTTGATAAAACTTATCGAAATCTCGATCTTAAAATTCACTGTAATTAAAAATTAAAAAATGTTAAATTTTTATAGTTAAGGATTGAAAATTGAAAACAAGATTTCTCTTAAACATTTCATATTGTAACCAAAAAATCTGAAAAATATGTAAACACAGTTATTTTTTACAAATATTTTAAGTTAAAATTTGGACTAAATTGAACTTTAAAAACAAGAATAACAATTTTTTTGTAATTTAAAAATATTATATTTGTGGGTACTTGAAACTTTTAGAGTATAATTTTACTATATTATATTCAAATTATTATTATATTATAATATTATTATTATTGAATTCAAATTCAACACATCTATTTTCTACAATGTTTCTCTAGTCTCTAGACAGTCAAGACACTTAATGTACAGTAAAGCTTTTTCCGTTTACCCGCATTTTTATTATTTTTAAACGTTGATAAATTAATTACCTGGTATAATATACCCATGTTTTCTTCAGGAACTAAACCAGGCATCATAGATTTTGCTTTTTGAACTAAGGGATCAGTTAAGTTCCATAAACAATCATTAATAGATGTTTTAATAAACATTTTTGTACCCAACATTTCCATCATTAATTTGAAACCATACCTCGTGAAATAAGAAGCATCCCATAAATATGATGCCATCCCCTGTGTAAAAATAATAAAATAAAAATGAATATTTGGTAACAGCTATGTTGTAATTAATAGTTTTTTTGTACGTCACAATTAAAATTAATTTTTTTGTTAATTTACTATTGATTTATCTACGTATTATACTACTGCAGTAGTATAATATAAGTAGATTATATTAAGTATCCTTTAATCAACTTCCCTTATGAGTTATGAATGTTATTAACTTTATCATGTTCAAATGCAAACATTTTCTTTAAAAAAGTATAGTTTTCAAAACTATTCATTAAGTCTTAGATGAGTTAATATTTTAAGCAAAATAATTTTAACTTTTATTTGATAATTATATAACACCTATTTTAAACTCAAAATGTTTTTAAAATATTATTAAATGTAATTCAAGGTATAAGAACTTTCAGATTAAATAATAAAAGAATTTATATTTGCCTGTAATTATTAAAATTATGCTCGTATACCTATGTATKTAATGCATAATTGTATCAAATTAGTTTAACTAATTAATAAACTTTTCTATTTTCATATTTTTAAAAACTTAAAAATACAAATCATTCGAACTTTAAATTTTAAAATTCATTATTCATGTCAATTAAAATAAAAAAGAGAAATAGAATCATCATTATAATACTAATATAAACATTACATTTTAGAATAAATCAAAACGCTCTAAGACTTCTCTCTAAAATTAAAATTATGACTCATTAAGGTTTCTTACAGAAGAATATTATTGGCTCGGAGATCCAAGGTTTTTGTAATTTCGAAATAGAATACTAACTTAAAAGTCATTTATACACTTTTTCAAATCACTGATAGAAAATTTATCAATTTTTTAGATTTTAAAGTGTATTATTTGTGTAATTGATAGAATATAAAATATTTGAATTATATTTTTATTTTCACACTAAAAAATAATTAAGAATTAAATTACAAAAAAAGTATTCGTTTTTTGGATTTTAAAATAACATAGTAGGTAGGTATGTCAACGAATCATTCAAATTAATAAATATAAAAAAGTTAGGATTTTTAAAAATAATTAATTAAATTAAATTTTCGTTTAATCTGGTTCAAAACTAAAAAAAAAAAATAATAATATTACAAAAATACGAGTAATTTATTTTATTTTTTATCAATTATAAAAAACTAATTTGATCCCTATTATAATGTCGACAATCCACGCATTAATATTAGGCAGTTGATACTCTGATATAACTATGTTGAGCTGTAATTTTGTAATTTCTGAACTGAAAATATCATAATAAGTATTTATAATAAACCATGTTCATGTTAATGTTTTTTAGTTTTTCTTTTCTTTTATGATTTACAAGGAATTTTTCCTGTAAACCGTGTTTATTGATGATTATACGAAGCTTCACATTTCACAACCTATGTAATTAATTAACTGTAATATGCTATGTAGACAATGGTGTTCATCGCTTTCATTAAAATAGTATTAATATTATGCACGTAATCAATTTTCATTACGTACCAATGCGGCAAAATTGGGTAGTATTAAATTAGCGTCCAAACTGATATTTGTCATTTCTGGCAAGAACACGGCTGTTCTCGTGGCTACATAAGTCATTGTGCCGTTGTCGTTGAATCTAACATCACTGTGTCGTAATAATTCTCTGAAAGCAAATCACATAAAAATATATCCTGTAAACGTCTATGTATAAATAATAAACTAGCAACAAATCATTTTTAGATAGGAATATACATTAAACGGTTACGTGTATGAGCACACGTAAGATTGTATAATAATGTTGTTAACACTTATCGGAAATCAAAATATTCCACTTCAACATATACCTAATTAATGCAACAACAATTTAAATGATTGTTATTCTTGTGAAGATGATTATATTGTGTGCAATAAATTATATAAAAATGGCATACAAGGAACTTGGCCATTGACGTTTAAAAATAAATAAACCAACAACCACGAACATAATTTATTTCGAAAAATTTTTTAAAATTAATTAATTATTTGTTAGATCTCGTACATTACGTGTGTAACTAAAAATGTATATACACGCATGACAAATCCTACTATCTAGTACATAATAACCAACGTAACAATATTATTTAAATTTCTCAGGCTTATAGAATATGAATTAATCAATAGAAAATATTTTAAATCTGCATAACATTTATAGGTACTATACTTTAAATATGTGTTATCCATAAAAATATATTTAATTTAGTACCAGGTACTAAGAACCTGTATATTAACAACATAATAAATTATATATATAGATATAACCATACGCAGTAATGACTATAATGTAATTCAATGAGGTTCTCAATAAAAAATTTAAATAATCCTACCGAAAACACTTATTTTTGAGTATCAAAATGTATTCGTAGTTATACCTATTTATGAACAAATGTATTACCAGCAGGACACAAAAAATGAAAATTTAGTATTTTTACAAGTTCTATACGGTAATCATCCAATTGATAAATTATAAAATATATAGGTGCTTGTTACCTATTGTTAAATACTTAAATCTATAAATTATACTATAATAAGCATTAGCCGTATATGTAGGTATTCCTCATTAAGTTGTAGAAAATATGTATTTTGGTGAAATACCCAAACATACATTATTTGAATTTAAAGCTAGGTTTAGAAAACATTTATTATATAATTTAGGTATGACCAAAAGTATAATGATAATACATTTTAAATAATTTAAAAAAGATATACAGGGTGATTTACCAAGTATTCTCAACTAAATTTTCCCTTTTGATAATGAATTTATTTAAATTCTGATTTTTAGAATTGTTAAATAGACTTAGACAATTTTTACAAACTCTTGAAATGTTTTGTATTATCTATAGAAGTGTTCTGTGGTGATAAAAACTTATGTTTTTCAAAAGACGTTTTTTAACGTACATTTTTGAGTGTACATTTTTTCGAAAATTCTGATATACCTAATTCAAAATTTGAATGAGTTGTTTATAAGCTATTAAATTATTTGTACTAAGGATGATAGTCTTTAAAAATGGTTTAGAAAAAATATAAAATATAGTAATACAAGAAATAGTATTTATTATAATTGTGCCATTATTATCATTGTTGTTGATATATTAATATTAATGAATACAATGTTTAAATTAATATAGATCCCATATCTTACTAACAATATAAACTCACTACCCATGTCCTTAGAACACAGAGTTAAATATCTCAAAAACTACTTCTACGAATTTTGATTCGGCACATCGAAATTTATTAGAAAATTATCCACTCCATAACTTACAGCTGAAAAGAGGAGTTTTTATAAGAAATTTATATTTCCACTGCAGTACTGTACACTTGAGTAATATTATAAATCTCGAAAATTTGAAGTTCAGAAATATAGGTATTTTTAAAATTCCAAAAATCAGATTTTGTATAACTGTAWTATTTAAGAAAAATGGGGCTGAGTATGCTAGGCGAATCATCCTGTATAATGAATTGAATTAGTTTTTAAATTATTTAAGTTCTTAGTTGATAATAATTATTAGTATATAAGAATAGTAATTAATATATAAGTTAAAACAATCATACACAAGACTAGGTTAAGGTGTTGAGGTATACGATATATTACTACACACAACATACACATATTAAGACGGATAGAACGGTTCATCGGTGATCGTTTATATGACCACTGTAGAACAAAATGGTAATTATGTATTTATATTATTTTAATTGTGTTTGTTTTGTTTTATTAGTGCATGGCGGAAGTAATCGAAGTAGGTTTAGGTACGAGATTAAGTAATATACTATATATAAATTAATACACGTATATGTATACCTATAGGTAACCGTTAACTAATAATTGATTTCGGCCATTAGAAAATATACAATAAAGATGAATAAAACCAGAAAACATCTCAACCACTTACAAACAATAATAAATTATTGCAAAAACAAACGGTTTATGGTCAAAAAATCATTTTTATACTATTAAAATCCTAGATGTGGGTATTGTTATTTGTTTACCAATATAAGCTTACAGTTTTAACGTTGTTCAAGGGCTTCAAGACAATAAATGAATAATAAAACTGTTCAAAGGAGTTATTATTTGTTTTCAAACCTACGATGAATAAATACTAATAAAAATAAAAATATAATATACAATATTATTCAGTATTTACTAAATACGTTCAATGACAGAGTGTATCCGTGTAGGTACAAGTAATCAGTACTGTCAAGTACTCAGTGCCAATAAAACCTGTACGGCTACACCAATAGGCTATAGGTACCTATGTCTATTTGGCTTTGAATGTTATCATTGCATTGTCTCTTCGTAGGTGAAACGTTACGACTTAAAAACGTATGTAATAATTCTTAACATTTGTTTTACTATCAATTGTTATTTGTTTAATATATCGTCGGTAGACACCTGCGGTAGGTACATACTATATATCATTATTATTAATATTCTACCTGCTCATCCACTGCATAATAGGTATCATTGTTGTTAAAATGTATATGTATAAAAATTATTAATTTTTAATAGTTAAAATGTCATTATAGATATTTAGACAAACAAATCAGTTAAACGTCGAAAATCATGTAAGTTAATTAATTTGTTAAGTGATCACTGGTCAATGCACTACGCCACATTGGTTCGAAGTCATAATATAATTGATTCTTTGATAGTTATTACTAGTATGACTTATTGATTAACAATTTTTTTTTCAGCAAATTGTATGATTGTTGTTTTTAAGAATCAATTTAAATAAAAAGCCATACCCATACACTCAAATCAAGAAAATCATATTAATTTATAAGACAATGCGTAATATTTGGTCTTGTTATTTTTGACACTTCAATATCCATGTACAATAAATATGACACAAGTTATAGTATTTGTCAATATTTTATTAAATGATATCAAAACAATGAAGTTTATTTTGAAAATTACAAATTTGTTTCTTTCCTAGTTTTAAAAAATATGTGCAATTTTTGTTGCTATTTGATATTAAATTCAATGATTTTCTAATAGATATTGTTGCTCACCTGAATACTATAGGACCGATTTCATTTAACTCCAGTTTACTATCGATTCCGTTCTCGAACCGTTCACTGTTAGTTACGTTAAATAGGTACACTCTAAGCAAAACCTCATCAGGAGGATTCTTCCACCATTCGTATGCTGGTAGACCACGAACCATTTTCAGTCTCTAAGAAATGAAAAATAAAATACAGTATTATTTTCACCAATAATATATCTATGTACTATGTGTATAAGTATAACTTTTAAGTTTAGAGTTAAGTTTTAAGTTTACAGCTTACACTAACCCTATTAATAATATAATAATATTTTTAATTATTTATTATAATAGAATATATAAAAGACCCCTAAATAAAACTAAAATCAAAACTAAATCGTAAAAAATAATAACTTCATTGTAACCATATAATTACCAACAACTATTATTTTGTAAATTATTTTATGTGCTTCTTAGTTTCTTGAAAATATTATCACTACCAATAATCATTTTTTAGTATTTAAAGTAGTAAACTCAAATCGTTATGTAATATTATTATAATGACGTACTTAAAATAAATAAAACTCGATCGAATGAGTTTCGGAATCAATTTTAGGGTATTGATATGTCAATCTGTGCGCAATTATTGTCCTTGGAAAAACTTATATCGAAGGCTTAGGTAAATGTTTTGAATTCCTATAGGATAAACTGATGACGAATGAATGACATAATTTGAACGAGTTAATTGAAGGTAATCATTATAATTAAATTTGACACGAAATGTCTTTTAATGTAAAGTTTGGCAAGTTCGTTGACTTTTGGTATAGGTATGCGTACAGATCGTGATATGCGGTATAGTGATATATTATCATCACGAACTTAAGACTGGCAGCAAATTATTTATATAACAAAAAAAAAAAATGTAATTTGGTTTAACTTAATGTATTATAATATTATACTACAGTAAAATGATTAACAAATGGTTGTTATACGTCATTAACTAAGGTGTAGGATTTATATTTTATACACCATTTGTCCATTATAGGTGTTGTCTCATAATAGGTACCTAGTTACATAAGACAATAAAACGTACATTTTGTCAATGAATTTTATGATTTATTGACAGACGTATACAATTTATAATAGTAAGAGTATACAATTTAATAGAACAAACATCATTCAAAAATAATTTAAAAAAAAAAAAAGCCCCAAATCAAAATTAATAAGATTGCCTATTATGTATTACATATGTAGGTACACTATATATTTAGTATAATACAGCATGTACAATATAAACGAACTTAATGTTGCTATGTATAGTAAAGATATGTTTATCATTAAAAGAAGTTGCACAATAGTACATTAAATATATATATATATCGTTATAACAACTGACTAATATTCCAGTTTAGCTGATCTAATATAGCTAAAGTTGGAGTTGTACTGTTGTAGTATATATTAATTTTATAAGTGATATTATGTATAGCAAAGTAGTAAAATAGTAAAAGGTAATAGTATCGGTGATGGTGTAGTTGTATTATAATAATATAATACTAGTAATGAATTAACAAGACGCCTGTGGGCAATACAGGTTTTCTTTTGATGATATATATACGAAATAAAGAAGAAAAATATTCGGTTATTTTGATGACATCTTCGACGGATTAACGTTGGGCTGTTAACATATTTTAAGCTTTATCGACTGTTGTAACGTTATATATAAATGAATATTTTGTTACGGTGTGATTCACATAGGACGTGTATCACATTATAGTGCAAGCTATATATTCTAGACACGCCACGCTGTCTGCTGCACATTCTGCAGCAGTGGACACCAGCTGGGTTGGATTTTCGTATGAAACAACTATATAGTAATATTCATAGCGGTATAGTGGTAGTGTTTGTATTATATATATATATAGTAAATAATATAAATATCACACTGATTAGGAACCTACACGTCTTTAATCTCTTATGGGCGTATACTCCTTGAATATTAAATTAATGCATGTCCATTAAAATAGTGAAAACGATCGTCCAAAGAACTAATAACAAGAAAATATTGTTAACTGTCGTGATTCTAAAGAAAAAAAAGCAGACTGCTTAATTAAATGCATGATAGTGCGCCAAAACCTCAGGTATAAAATAAATGATTCACAGCAGAAATACTAATAGTGAGGAATTGCTAGAATTTATTTTTTATTTAGAGAACACTTTACCTTTTAATTTTTTTAGTTAAGAATATACGTTTTTTAAAACAATTTTTTGTTTAACATTGAATAATTTTCAAGTATAATATTTTTTGCTAGTGACTTGAAAGGTATGCCTATATAATAATACATTTTTGTGCATTACATTGTTGGTCACAGTTAATTGCGCTTCTCAATAATGTATCAACAAAAGAAAATAGGAAACTTGTTAGCCACCTAGTTTATAAAAATAATCATGAAACAAAAATTTGGCCGAAAAATTTTTTTAAATACTTAACACCCTAAATTATTACTTAATTTCTTTACTGCAACTTATTTGAAAAGTTTTATAAGCATCGACATTAAAAATATTTTTTGCATCTAAATTTATGAAATTTTAATTTTCATGATTACAGATATACTTAGTATTATAGCAGAAGAAAAATAGTCTTTTGATTTCTTATTAAGTTGTTATAGTAGTTATTTTACATTTTAATAACATTCCACTCTCATAGATGCTCACATCCATCATGCAAAGAATCTTAGTTTTTGTCACAAATCTTATATCATGAATTTATGTAAAAGAACCTTGGATCAAAAGATCTTCCAAAACAGTCTTGAATGAGTCATTTATTTTTTTCTTCAGAATTTAAACAGGGTGTTGTTGAACATTTAACATTCGTCGAGACGACGAGTATTTGGTACAAAAATCAATATTATACAACCAAATATTGTTGAAATGTCACTTATATTTTTTCCACATAGATAACTAAAATCTTTCTATATACGTAATATGTGTACCTTTCTAGAATTCTAAAAGATTACAAAATAACTAATAATAGTACTTACCTCATTCATTAATATGTTAAATGGTGTATATACTATTGTAATGCTGCCCACGAGGAATAATACCAATGCTGAGAATATGTAGAACGAGTTTCCTGAAAATAAAATAGCATTCCAATATTAGTCAAATGAATACATGGTCTTCCGTTTAAATTATAATGACAGTCATTGTCGTTTGTTTTAAAACCTGCGAAATAATATATATGTGGTTACAGTTGAAGAGTAAACTATGTATGCATAGCCACTACAACCTAACAAATAATGTGAACAATAATATTCTTGTCGTCGAACCAAAGGAGCTCGAAAAAAATTCGTACTGTTGACTCGGGTTGATGCTGTTTACTCATTGTTACACAGTTGGATGGAATTTTTTGTTTAAAGTAAAATTAGGCATTGCCAAGCAGCGGCATATTTACGTGGGGGGGATTTGGGKGATCGATTCCCCCTTGGTCTTTTTTTTCTATTATTAAAGAATTTACCTATATATACTTAGACACTAAATCGTGTTTAATATTTGTATATGTTACTTTTATGTGTGACATTCAATGGATCATCCCCTCCCTATAACAATTCTTAAATACGCTGCTGCTACCAAGTACCGATTCCTWTCCAATTTTTGTTATTTCCSTAATTTATTTACACATAATCAAAATCACTTAATGTACTTTTTTATATATGAAATCGATGATCGTATATCGTAATTATTCGTTAATAATAACAATAAGARTTACCAGAGTTCCGTGCTATCAAGGTTCGATAAACTAATAGTCTACAATTCTATTGTATTACATACACATTACATTATGTAAATTATAATACTATAATTTAATTTATGTACATCAATACAATTTTATTAAAGAATGATTGAACAATCAATATTTTAAAATAAATACCTAGTACCTACCTAATGTCATCTGTCAATGRACGATGACTTCTATCAGTCCTATCACGTCATCACGTTTTGTAAATATAGTTTCATGCTATCTTATTTATCTTAATACCTAGCTATGACGTATTTCCTTGTAAACRGAATACAAATATTACGTTGTTAATAAAAACAAAATAAATGCCAATCAATTGTGTCAAATTATACTTTAAATACATTTTTTTCTTTAGCACAAATTTTACGAAAAATTAAGGCAGTTAATATAACCGATTAGGACTATACATTTTTCTAGAAATAATCATATTTTGTTGCAAAAAAATAATATAGGTAATATACAACATAATCTGCATTTTGTATATATTAATTCAAATTTATTGTTTTAAAACGAGTACAGACATTTATGTTTTTATTTTGACTTACAATCTCAAAATTTGATCTATAATTTATAAAATTATAGTAATATAACTATACAATAAATGATAATAGGTGCCTAGAATTGTTTCTTTCACATAAAGAAGCCTGTAGTATCTAAATTCTTTAAGCACAATATTTTTTTTTTACATTTTTTTTTACATTTTTTTCTCCATTTTAGTATTTTACATAAAAATTAATGTAAAATTCTAAATTTAATAATGAAGTAGGTATGAACTTTATACTTGTACGAAAAATGGAAAACGTTATTTACAATAAATGAGCATTGGTAACTTAAATTATTTTATGACGTATTTAAATTAGTTTTTCGTTGTTATTCCTATTTATTATACCACATATAATGCGTAAATTCGGTTTATATATTTCACTATAGTAGTTGTTGGTTAATGKCCAGTTTTTAATATTCCCATATTTTCAATAAAAAAWCCTCTTTTGGTTCGTTTGCGGTCAACCAATTAACTAAATAAAAAAAATTTAAGAGRATAYTAAACGGTTTAAGCTCCTAAAATATTTTCATAGAATTTTTGCATTTAAAATGGATGGTAATAAGTGATGAAAAACGTTTCCTTTAATGACGCAAACAATTGGGAAGTCGCTTTTTTATAAACTTACAAACTTATACTAAACGTGATGGGTAATCTTTACATAGATCAACAATTAAAAAATATGAGTGCTACAGCCCCCTCCCCGCTCCCAAACACAAATGTGGTCCTGTAGTTGCATGCACTCACTCACACTCAACAATCTACACAAGGGGTCTTCAACCCGCGGCCGGCCCTTTTTTAATATGCGGCCCGCGATCACATTTTAATTTAGCATGTATATTTTCTAGTTCAATAAAATTATAACAGTTAAGCTATCGCTATTGGAAATATGCG